TCATTCCAACTCACCAAAATCAAGCTCTTCAAAATTGAGAAAAAAAATGGATGAAAAGTTAATTATGTGTATTGAAATGTATGATATTTATCTATATATCATTTAATATATGCATATATCATATTCATATATACTACATATTATGTATACATTAAATTTATATGAAAATATAATGATAAAATATGTATTTATATTTTTTCATCCTTTTACGTTTTCATCCTATCAAATACAAAAAAAAAAAAAAAAAATCAATCTCACTTTCTAGTTTTTCATCCATCCAAACTGTTAGAGATATAGCAACAACCTAGTTTATTAGGGTTTTATTAAGTTTTTTTTTTTTACCTTTTTGTCTTTATTGTAACTCTCATTAACTATATATTCGAGGGTTCTACACTTAGTTTGTATCCTTTTTTTACTCACGATTATTTCAAGTTGGTATCAAAGCCAAACCCTTAACCCTAACCCCTTCACCACGTTGCCGCCATCAGCCACCGTGACTGCCCAACTCAGCAACACCCACAGCCTGCAACTCTACCAACAAACAGTCTTCCACCGACTGTCTATCCTCATACCAGTCCATACTAGCCCCCAGTCACATCCTAAACAAACCAGTCCATACCAGTACACGACAAACTGCAACAAACAACCTCAATCCTTACCAGTCCTCACCTACGAAACCGAATAACCACCTGGACCGACAAATCCCAGCGAAACCAAATACCCACCACCGACAGCAAACAAATACCCCTGCTTTAAGACCCTCCCCAATTGCTCAGACCAGCCGACAAACAACATATACCAATACCATATACATCGAAACCCATACACAACCATATACANGGGGACCCTCCCCAATTGCTCAGACCAGCCGACAAACAACATATACCAATACCATATACATCGAAACCCATACACAACCATATACACCAAGACCCAATACCATATATCCATTGAAACCAAACCGACTGGCCATATATAGCCTGTCCAACGCCTATTACCCATTCTCCATATAATAATAATAATAGATCCAACCCAATAAAACCACTCCTACTGCTGAATCATTGTCCAGCCCATTGCTGGGTCGCAATTTTTGTTGTGATTTTGTTCTAGGACTTTTTTGGGAGGAAGCGAATCCTCTTTTCTGTTGATCTGCCCTTGATGCAGTAGATCACTTATATATTTTGGATTTCTGGGCACCGTGACCTGATTATTTGGAAGCTTTTTGGACCTTCTTTATTTGTCGCTACTGTTCGACTGAAGGTATATTGTTCTCCCTTATTTTATTCTTCTATTTATGTTAGAGTTGTTTTTTTGTCACAGGTGTCCTAGTATTGTTGTTGATATGACTACTACTGAGGGACTTGAGAACCCTACTATTGACACCTCTACCGTTGAGAAATCTATGGGTACTTCTACTTTTATGTTTGACCAATATACAGTACCTACTAGCACAGTTGCATTACCAGCACTACCGAGCATGATCTCTCAAAAAGTTACGGCACAGTTGTTGAATGATTGTAACTTTGCTGAGTGGTCTCGCTCATTCCAACTTTTCTTAGGCCGTGTAGGGAAACTTGGTTGGTTGACAGGATCTCACCCAAAGCCAGCTGATGCCGACCCTGGATATTCTGCGTGATTCTCTGAGAACTGCGTCATTCTTGGATGGTTATTTGGCTCGATCGAGCCATCTGTTTGCAGGATCCACCAGTTTCATAGCTCTGTTCTGAAGCTATGGAGCGCATTATCAGAGATGTATTCTCATTCAGGACGGGGAGTTCGTGTTTATGAGCTTTCTCAGGAGCTCTCATATGCTCAGGAGGGAGATATGACCGTTCAAGATTATTATGGCTATTTGACCTAACACTGGCTTGAGTATGAGACTCTACGTCCTCTTGCTGCTATTCTGAAGATAGAGCCCGAATGCTTGCATACTCGAAAGTAGGAGGATAGGATTCACAAGTTCCTTATGGGGCTTCGTGATAAGTTTGAGGGACCTCGTTCTCAGATCTTGTCGATGTTGACACTTCTTTCTCTTTATGAGGTATATGAGATGATTGAGCAGCGTGAGCTTCGAGTCCGTATTGCATCACTTTTAGTTGTGGCTTTGACTCCTTCGGCTGATCAGATGGCCCTTGCAGTTGCTACAGGGTCTCGTTCAGGATCCTCAATTAGGGGTGGACAGCGCTCGGATCAGCGCCGTCAGGGTGCCCCAAATCAGCGCAAACAAGGGAATTCTCGTCAGGGTGCCCCAAATCAGCTCAGACAGGGGGATTCCCGTCAATGTGATTATTGTGGCCGATCAAGATATCTCAGGGCTACTTACTAGAATCTCCATCCAGAGCTTAAGCCACCTCCTCGCAGTCGTACTGTTGCTATTACTGAGGTACCACCACCCACTACCGCTACTCTTGCTACTGCTGCTGCTCCACCTTGGCAGAGTGATATGGATGTTATCACTTTCCAATATTATGTGATATTTATAGATGATCATAGCCGTTGTACTTGGGTCTACTTTTTGCATAGAAAGTCAAATGTACTTCCTATAATTACTCAGTTTTTATAAATGATTAAGACACAATTCGATGTCATTGTTCGTGCTCTTCGTTCGGATAATGCCAAAGAATATGTGTCTGATGCCTTAGTGTCTCACCTTTCTTCTCAGGGTATTCTTCAGCAACTCACTTATACATATACTCCTGAGCAAAATGGTGTTGCTGAAAGGAAAAATAGGAGTTTGATAGGGATCATACGTTGTATGCTTAGAGACATGAGGGTACCAAAATCTTATTGATATTTTGCTGTTTTGATTTCTACCTTTCTGTGCAATCGTACGCCGAGTCGTGTTCTTCAGCATAAAGCTCCCTTATAGGTCTTATTTCCTGAGCGGACACTTTTTTCGGTCCCCCCTCATGTTTTTGGATGCACATATTTTGTTCAGGATCGGTCTCCTGCTCATCATAAACTTGATATAAAGTGATTCATTGTATCTTTGTGGGATATTGCAATCAATCTAAGGGGTATCGGTGTTATTATCCTATCAGGCGCCGTATGTATCACAGTGTAAATGTTACCTTTCTTGAGCATATTCCTTATTTTTCTCTCAGTCCTGTGTCTGCCCCTCTAGTTGATGATACTCCTTTTGATTTTCCATTACCACAGGAGTCAGAGTCATTGGTCATTATCCCTACATGGTCATCTGTTTCTCCTCCTTCAGAGCCACTCATCTCTGTCAGTACAGAGTTACCAGTCTCTCTTCCTTTGCAGGTGTATGTTCATCGCCCTCGCTCTCATCACCCTGCTGATGTCCCCTCTACCTCAGGCAATACAGGTAATACTTCTCAGTTTGTTGAGCATATTGATGCACCTGTTGTTAGTACTGATGAGATTGTAGGTACTGAGCCAGTTCATTTACCTGATGAGACATTATCAGTGGAGGAGTATGATTTAGGGTGTCGTTATCCACGGCGTGATCGCCGTCCAGTTAATCGTTATGGTTGAACCGCTAGGATTTTATATCCGATCTCTGCTTATATTTCTTATAGTAATCTGTCTCCCACATTTCGAGCTTATACTATGGCCTTATCAGATACGCCGGTTTCTCACTCTATTTCGGAGGCTATGTGGGAGCCCCATGAGTTCTTANTATTGCGTTTCACCCGTGGAAGCTACTTGCTGGAAGCTCCATCCAGAGCTTAAGCTACCTTCTCGCAACATGATCGCCGTCCAATTGATCGATATGGTTGGACCGCAAAGATTTTATATCCGATCTCTGCTTATGTTTCTTATGGTAATCTGTCTCCCACATTTCGAGCTTATACTATGGCCTTATTAGATACGCTGGTTCCTCGCTCTATTTCGGAAGCTATGCGGGAGCCCCAGTGGGTTCTTGCCATGCAGACAGAGATGGACGCTCTTCAGCGTAATCATACATGGGATCTTGTCTCCTTACCTTCAGGGGTGAAGCCTGTTGGCTGTCGCTGGGTTTACACCCTGAAGTTTCTNTCTTTCTAACTTGTATGTTAGAAAACATGTAGTTTTTGTTTCTCTATGTTTTTCATTGTTTATTTTAGTGTCGGTAAATATTTTATATCCTCTCACATAACTAAAGATAAGCCCATGCATATTGCCTTTCTTTTTTAATAGCTCAACATAAGAGTTTATGTGGTGGCATCACCAGCTAATGAGATTGGTGGATCTGTAGGGAGGATACCGTGGTTTTTATTCTAGAAATACAATCACTTTAACGCCCAAGGTTGTGAACGATATCCATAAACGTGGTGGAACCACACTTGGCACATCACGAGGGGGTCATAATACGAAAAAAATAGTTGACAGCATTCAGGACAGGGGAATTAATCAGGTATGCGCAAGAAAGATGTCTTAATTATAATTTAAGACCTCATTTATAAGCATTTGTTCTCTTGCATAGAGAACCAGTGTGATTGATTACTAATCCATATGCATTTTGGTATTTAGGTTTATATAATTGGAGGAGATGGGACGCAGCAAGGAGCAGCTGTGATTTTTGAGGTACATTTGGTTTGATGAAAAAAATTTGTCACTAGTTTTAGTGTTTGTATAATCTGCATGTGAGTTGATAAGGTTCTTCACTTTCCCATTTTTTGGGATCTTAAATGCACAATTTCTTATTGAAAGTATAGTATTACTTGCAATTGTGATATACAAGTTATATTATCCTCCATTCTGCAGGAAATTAGAAGACGCGGTCTCAAAGTTGCAGTTGCTGGGATCCCCAAAACCGTTGATAATGATATTCCAGTAATTTTTTCAGGCACTATGGCTCAAATTATTTTCTATCTGATATTATCATTGATTATAACAAAGCTTCAGTGTTGACTAGGGTGTTCTTTCTCTTCTTTTTGCAGGTTATTGACAAGTCTTTTGGCTTTGATACTGCCGTTGAGGAAGCTCAACGTGCTATTAATGCAGCCCATGTTGAAGCTACAAGTTGTGATAATTGTATCGGTCTGGTGAAGTTAATGGGTCGCTACAGTGGTAAGTTTCACACCACTACTTGGTACTCTTCTGTTTTTGTGTCTGGGGAACGTGTGAGTCGTTTTCATCTTGCCACCTGCACGTCATTGTTGTATACTACTATGTGAGTGCATGGAAAAAGCTGGTGTAGCTGTAAGTTGTATAGAGCAATTGTTTGAGCATTGTTGAAGTGGCTGAAGCTCCACAGCTGGTTGAAATAGATGTCTTATGTAAAATGTGAATTCTGTTTTCTTAGCTATTGTTGAATTTCGCCCTGCTCATATGATTTATTTAAAAATGAACTTGATTTTACAGGGTTTATCGCAATGTATGCAACTCTTGCCAGCCGAGATGTTGACTGTTGCTTGATTCCAGANTTTACAGGGTTTATCGCAATGTATGCAACTCTTGCCAGCCGAGATGTTGACTGTTGCTTGATTCCAGAATCACCCTTTTATCTTGAAGGAGCAGGTGGACTTTTTGAATATATAGAGAAACGACTCAAAGAAAATGGTCACATGGTTATTGTCATAGCTGAAGGTGCAGGACAGGAGCTTCTTTGTGAGAGCTTGCGGTCTACTGATCAGAAGGATGCTTCTGGAAATAAGCTTCTCCAGGATGTTGGGTTGTGGATATCTCAGAGGATCAAGGTATGAGTTCAGATGCCCTTATTGGTTTCAATCCTACCTATATCACACTATTTTTAGAAATCATTAGGAATCCAATGTTCGAATCCACATTAAAATCATTGAAGGTAAATCTGTGCATTTTATTTGCAGGATTATTTCTCAAAACAAACGAAGATGGCCATCAATCTCAAATATATAGGTTGGTAATTTGCAGTTTATTTGATATATATAACAAAATATNAAATCATTAGGAATCCAATGTTCGAATCCACATTAAAATCATTGAAGGTAAATCTGTGCGTTTTATTTGCAGGATTATTTCTCAAAACAAACGAAGATGGCCATCAATCTCAAATATATAGGTTGGTAATTTGCAGTTTTTTTGATATATATAACAAATATCAAATAATTTGGGGATGGATGGATGGATGTCCTAACCAAGTGTTGCACATTCATTTTTTGTGTTCTTGGCAGATCCTACATACATGATCCGGGCTGTTCCTAGCATTGCATCTGATAACGTGTACTGCACACTCCTTGCTCAAAGTGCTGTTCATGGAGCAATGGCAGGCTACACAGGGTTTACAGTTGGGCCAGTCAATGGCAGACATGCTTACATACCGTTCAATGTGAGTTGATCCATCAAGTAAAACAGATGTTATTTTTTTGTTGATTATCTCTAGTTTTCTCCAGTGAACAATTTTACTAATGTTTGAAAGTGTTATGGGAACTATTGTATTCCTGCATTTCCAACTGCAATTCTTTCTTATTATACTGAAGAAAGAACACTTACTTGGTCTTGCTAACAAAGGACTCCTTGCTAAAATGCTGTCTGCAGAGAATTACTGAGACGCAAAACAGGGTTGTGATAACGGATAGGATGTGGGCAAGGCTCTTGTCTTCAACGAATCAACCGAGCTTTTTGAGTTCAAAAGATGTCATCGAAGCCAACAAGGAGGAAGAACCACCAACTCAGTTGTTGGATGATAACTACCCAGACAAAAAGTTGATAAATACAGACACTTAAGTACCAAGTGACATTGCACTAGTCCTATATAAGTTGCTACTGTTCTTGTTTAGGTGCCATTCACCTCAGTCCTGTTTTCCATATGCCTATAGTCTGTTGTTTTCCAATATACAAGTATAGTGTACAAGCAATATTGCTGTAGTTATTTTGCCTTCTATGAGTTCATTCCCGAAAGTAGTCGATCCCAACATAATCAGGGTAGGGCTTAGTTGAGTTGAGTACGTGGGAAGGCAGCCTACTAATATTGTTAAATCTTTATGCTGAGAGACTGTGGATGTAATAACACTATCAAAGGAAGCAATAAATTTGCAAGCATTCGTTGCAAAATTTGAATCATGCAATGCCCTTATGTTTAGGCAGTTGTAGTTCCTTCCAGGTGTGACAGAAAGAACAAAGGGGCAGATGTATTTTTCTATTGGGATGATTATGANAATGTGTATAGAATACTAGTTTATAATAATAATGGCCAGTCAATGCTCAAAACAAATTCAAACGTTCATATGGTTATAAGAATGCTTTCGACGCATGTTCATGACTAGAGCTTCGTAGGTTCATGAATACATCAGCAAGCCAACAGCAATGGACGTTGAATTAGGAAGCTTATTGCTTAAACAAAAAAAAAATACCATTATATTCCATTACATTTTTCAACCATGTTAGTGCTTACCTAGGAAAGTTCCATGCAGCAATTGGATTATATAATGGGTTTTGATAAAGCTAATTAACTAGTATATACGACGTTGCCTCTGGTTTGTAGAGGTTAGATTCATAGATTTGAACCCCCAACTTATTTACTTGTTATAGATAAGTATTTGTTGCAAGTCCCCACCGTGACACTGATATTTTACTTGTACAGATTTAGCTGCTCTAGTGGCTACTAACTTACTATGATTGTTATATTTATATGTCTAGGGTCATTTTGGTGATTATATTAAGAGCCTAATCTCAACTTGCATCCTGGATGAACATTTGAATTTTAATTTGTGCCCTCAAAGTTTAAAAATATTAATTTATATCCTAAAAGATAAAAATATNTCCTTATACCAGACCAAACAAGGAATTCAACACCAAATACATTGTTAAAAGGGTGGTCAAGCATAGAAACCCCCAAAACATTACCTTAAGATTCCCACCAACTGTAAAATATTCAATTTGAGTCATAACTACTAATCTAATAGTCGAATTCATCACCACAATACCATCGAGAGTAAACTGGACATTCAATCTCTCAGACAGGGAATACAACCGCAAACAGTTCAAACCCATGACCAGTGGAGGAAGGTGAGACTTTCACTGTCTATGGAAGCCAACTAGGCTAGGCCATATTAAACCCAGGCATAATCAAATACTTCAAGAGTTCAAATCAAAGAGGAATTGATCTGGTAAATTTCAAAAGCTCCTATATTAAACAGCACGTGGTATTTTACCCACATTTCAGCACATTGTAATGTCTACCTCCAGATTTCATGTTTCAGAATTCATTAGATTCATAACACTTGATGAGACAGAGCTACAAGAGCAATGTACAGGTCAAAACAGATCAAGTGTTTGACCATGGAACAACATGAAACATTAAGAACGCAAAAATATTATGAGTGCTATAAGTGACCAATGTTGTGATGGGCTTACTATTTATTTAATCTAATCCAACCCAATATTATAGACAACAAAAGCACTCTTTATAACTTTCAAACCTCATGTCCCTTCATGTCATGGACTTTTCAAGCAAAACGACCATAAAAAAATAATTTAACTCGTTTTTAGAAGAAGTCATGTCCATCCTGGACATCTGACCTTTCTCAATGCTTTTTTTTTTTTTTTGGGTGATTCANCTGACCTTTCTCAATGCTTTTTTTTTTTTTTTGGGTGATTCACCAATCCCTTGTAAGCAACCCTTTGTCACCTACTTGGAAAGAAGAAAAGATTAGGAAGACAGAAGGGCATTACTAAAACAAAGANCACCAATCCCTTGTAAGCAACCCTTTGTCACCTACTTGGAAAGAAGAAAAGATTAGAAAGACAGAAGGGCATTACTAAAACAAAAAAATGAGTCTTGGCTTTGATAGCAAAGGGATGTACCCTCAAATTTGAATCAGTTTCTCTAAGTACCAGCCCAAGTAAACTGTTTAAAAGTGTAGTTTTCCTCCTAAGATGACAACATAATCATATTAGATCTAAGCGTGAAGGTAGCTAAAATTGTGTTACGATACTGATGCCATATACAATGGAACATGTCTCGTGATAGATGTAGGATTATCAAGCTTATATTAATGCCTGAAACAGAATTTAAGCATTTTTGAAAGTAGCCCTTAATACAAGAGATGCTTTTATTCAATGGAATTAGAAGATGATGAGCAGAAAACACAATTTAATACACACGCAGATGTATACATATGTATTTATGAATACAGTACAACAATTGCCCATTTTTGCCTCGAACATAAAATAAGTTATTTTCAGTAATCTTTGATATCCCATAACACAAGCACATGGTTTTTCAGATTACCAGATCCAAATCATCAGTCACTAGGGCACTAGAATCAATAAAATATAGCAATACTGCCAAAACCATTAGACTGGCACCCGGAAAATTAGGTGGCAAATTGCATCAGTCAAACCATCAGTTGGATAAAACTCTCATCAATGTTGGACTGTTCAATTTAGACTCAAGGACAGAGAGAGTAGTGAATATGTAACAATTTTACCGCATTAGACAGTGAGAGAGCCAGTAACTTAACAGTAGAGGAACACTATGCAATTTGAACCACTCTTGTAAAGGTGTAATATAAACTTTGCTAGAGAACAAGGAAGAGTTTTTATTGCTTTCTTCTTTTTCGCATTAATCATTAGAACATTAAGCACAAAATTCACTTATTTCTCGAGTCATAGTGATGGATATCAAATGTATTAACAGGCACACTTCGAACATTTAATTATTGACCGGCCTTTCCAAAGAAGTGTTCAATTTGCAAACATCCTTGAGATTGCAAGGCATTTGTTTTGGCTCCATACTGGCCTCTTTTCACCCATGTTGTAGTCTCCTTGCTGTTCTGCTCATGAAGAATAAAAAGCAAACATTAGCTCCAAAAATTGAGATGATGTGAACAGTTCACGCAGTAGTCATCAGAGCGTTTCAGAGCCAGTCTACTGGCTTCGGTTCCAAAATTAAATTCATGAAAAACACAAGATTTGGGTAACACATACATCAATTTCCTCTCATATTTGGAACTACTTGCACCGGCATAATCAATAGATTCAGAAAGTGTAATTACAAAGTGACAAACTTGCCAACATAGATATTGAAATGCAGTTAAAGACCACATAAAAAAGCTAATTGAAATCAGAATGAAGACTCACCCGTGATGACTGATTCAGAGATCTCAGAACTTTAATTCTACCACCTTTACCATCAGCTCCAATAGCAATTAAATCACCAGTACTTCTAGTTGATCCTTGCATTGCCACAGAAGAGACTGTTGATCCCTTATTCTGAACCCGCTTGCACCATTTCCCCAAGTGCCAATTAGTTCCATCAGGACCAAGCAACCCACCAGAAAAACAGCGATCTACTGGAGATTTTGCAAGTTAGAATATAAAAAAAAAAATGGGTAAAGAGATAAACATAAAGGGATGGCTGCTTAAATGTACAAGTTTCTAAAACAAGCTAAACTAACGCATCAAACTCTGCATGATTTCAAACTTATGTTGATCCATATAATAAGAAAGCATTCTACAGCCAACATGAAATATCCTGCAAAGCACTAACTCAGTCTGCTTTCAACCTAGCAAAGCCAAGTTGAATTACACAAAAGAAAAAAAAAATAGTACCTGGTTGTGAAACTGGGATTGGCAATGGAGTCTCCCTTTTAATGCGAAGCAAGGGCGGACATTGTGTAATGTCATCATGAAGCAATTCCACATCCTCATCTGTAGCATCAAGTGGAGTAGTGGCCATATCACCCTTACTAGCACACCTTGAGTCTGAAAAACCATCCTTGTTACTTTCTCCATGCAATTGAGCTTCACTTTCTGTATCAAAAGCTAGCCTTGGCCTTGACGAATAACATTTTTGGATGGCTACATCCTCTTCAATGAATGTAGAAATACCTGAAGCATCCTCATCTATAAAAATGTAAGAACCCATCTCTTGGCCAAGGACACCAAGACTTTTATCATGTGTAATATTATTTAAACCTATATCCTTGGAAGGTTTTAACCTTTTCCTTTTCGTAGGGCAAAACGGATCATTTTGCATGCTTTCAGTGCAGTCCAAACTAATCTTCTGTTCAGCAGGTTCCTTTATTTGATTTTCCAATGAACATTTATCCATTTTACTGGAGGCTTTCTTTGAAAATTTCAAAGCTCTCAAAACTTCATTATCCTTTGCTTCAACTGCTATCTCCAATTCTTGGACCCTTGTCTGACAATGGCTGCACATTAGAATTTTTATAACTCAACCATAAATGAAACATTTGTGGCACTCAAGATTGACTTACTTTCAGCTTCTTTATCTTCTCTTTAGCCTTGTCAAGTTTACTAAGAGAACGGGCTTCTCCTCGTCCTAGGATGTTGCACTTGGCCATCAATTCTTTGTAATTCCTATGAACCACGCAGCCAAGAATTATGTGCAACCAAAAGGAATCCAGGAAATCACATAAGTAGCAAAAAGCTAATTAGAAATAAGACAGTTCTTAGCAATTCACACGCCACAGAATACAGAAGTTGACAAAAATAAAATAAAAATACAGATTCAGATTCAGAGTTTGCATGGTTGGACCCAAAAAAGAGGAGAAAAACAGTTCACAAANTCACACGCCACAGAATACAGAAGTTGACAAAAATAAAATAAAAATACAGATTCAGAGTTTGCATGGTTGGACCCAAAAAAGAGGAGAAAAACAGTTCACAAACACATGATCTGGCCGACAGCAAACAACCCCCAGATAAGCACAAACCCATTAAAATTTTGGCAGAGGCAAAAGGATGTGCTGAATTCAGCCCTTCTGATATAAATATAAATAAAATCCTTTCTTAAATTTTTTCAATGGCATCACTCCAAAGGTAAAAGAAAATCACTTTTTATGCCTTCTTCCTTTTTATTATCTTCTTCTTAGAGGACTGTTGTTGGTTTAAGATCTCTGCCCAAAATGGTATCTATACTAAACAACAGATATCTATTTCTTAACATCTATACTACACAAACTTCCAGCTAAATACCATGAAAATATCATGTCAAACCTTTGGCCCATCGTCCTCAACAGAGTAAGGCAAGAACTATGGGGAAAGGGGGCACCACAGATTCTGAGTGCAACAGAATGTCATGTATAAAAACCCTGTCCTATATCAAACTCTTAAGTGGAGCGTATCCCATGAGTCATTACTCCTTACTCAATGAAGGATGGACTAACCTATTATATCTTATTTGACCCAGTTTTTAGATTGTCTGCCTTTTCATTTTTTCTATTTCTAGAAAACCTAATTTCAATTACAAGAAAACCTGCAGGTTGCCCACCATGTCATCCAAATGCTTTATGAATGATCTAGCTGTACACAAATCCATTGCAATTCCTCAGTAGTATATTCAAAATGACATGCCTGGCTATTTTTCCAAGATAAAAATAAAAAGTAGAGTAAATGCATCATTCGTCAGCCGAGCGTAAGCCGAGATGCCAATGCCTGGAGTTTAAACCCTAGCTCAGCTCCACAGCAGCCTTAAAGCTACTACTAAGCCCAAGACACCGGTCCAATGCCTATAATTGAAAGAATAAACATTCTCAGTTCACACCACCAAGTGCCTTTTATACATGCCAACTCAATGCCTCTTCATTATCAATAGAATTTTACATATGAGACCTGATTCATGGACATGCGACTTCCTATGTCTCTTTTCACCTCAGATTTAGGAGGGGGGGTTGGGCATGTGCTTTTCTTTGGGAGAGGGGAATCATCCAAACTGAAGCCAAGAAATTTTTATGTTTCAATTTTGCCCCAACAGCAACATATACAAGAAAACAGCAGCTTCAACCATTCAGGCCAAGGATTATAATGCCATCTATACCTTCAAATATCCGTAGGAGAAAAAACATTTAAAAACTTACTTATTACGGATGACCAATGACTTCTTCAAAACGTCTACTGTCTCCTTCTTGTTAGCTTCATTACCTAAAGAAGCAAGCTTCAAAATCTCTGCTTCTTCCAAGTTCAAATCAGAGACCCTGAATGGCAAGCCACATAATCAGGAGCAGTGAAAACTCAAATAAAGAACCGGATGTTTAATGTTAAACTTGGCGTCAATATAGGTTCACATACAACTTGAGTGCCGCAAGTTCTTTGGCTAAGATCATGGTTTTCTCCTGCAGCCTCTTGCACTCCAAAGCCGACCTGTCAAGTTCCTATCACACAATTGAATAACCTCAATGAGAATTTCTGTCAGCCTAGTCAAACCACAATATACATACATATTTTTATTGAGTATATTGACACCAGCGTGTGGTTGGGTAGATAGGCACATACAACTTTTGCTATTAATTACCTGCGATTTCAATTGAAACAGCTGTTGGACAGCTGCTTTGTGTTGTTGAGCTTCATTCTTCAGTGCAACCTCTTTCTTGATCTGCTCCTTGCAAATACACAGCTAAAACAAAGATTGTTAACCACAACCACAAGGCACAAAAAACAAACACACTTAAATAGTTGTCAGAGGGAAAAAAAATTCTCCTTTCACTTTCTGAGAGAACGAGCAAAATTGGAAATCTTCTCAAATTCTAGGTCACATTAGTTTGCAAATAATGTAATTGTCCGCTCGACTTAACCAAGTAGTTGCATAAGGCACAGATTTTTGGAAGTGCATGTTTCCTAGAGAACTAAGTAATAAAAGGTTAAATGTACCAAATAACATTAGATGTCTTTCCTTTCTTGCCTTCCCCCATAAACCAAATGGAAGTAATGCAAGAAACCAATCTCCAGCTTTTCTCTCAGCAACCAAATGGCCCACAATACTCCACCTGAATCCCAAGGAATTTATAAAACTGGCATGTTAAAAACCTTTTTTGTTGTTCTATTTTTTTTTCTTTTGTTCTATCGATTTTCTTAGTTTTCATAAACGAGTACAGAATTCAACAAATGGAAAGCTGTCCGATGCCTCTGATTCCTAATAAAGACAATCAAGATTCAACATTCTCATATTAATTTCCTTTCCTTTTCCCGTATTGTCTGTGCAACCAAACAGATAATAAAGAAATCAACTACCTCCTCGCTGACATCGTTGAATTCTTTCTGTTGACTCTCCAAAGCCAAACTGAGCCCCGAAACCTTCCCCTCCAATCGCTTCACCTCCCTCCTCAATTCTTCTGGATTTTCTTCACAATCTCGCGGCTTCTGAGATAGAGTACTCGGATCATTCGTATCACCAACTGACTGAAAATACAGGCGACCCACATTGACCTCCGAACAGGTCTGCTTGCACACAGGACAATTCTTCTTCTTCCCATTTGTACAGTACTCGAACCATTGTTGAAGACTAGGGTTTCGCAAACATATGTTATACGTCATTCAAATTATAACCATTCCAGAAAAAAACGATACATGAAGAGTGATATATAGACATGAAGATACTCACCATAGCTCGTGAAAGACGTGGCCGCAAATGGAGATAGATTGGAGGTCTTCGACGAGGGGTTTGAGATCTTCGTAGCAGATTGAACATATCGTCTTGCCAAAAGTGTTATTGCCTCCGACCATCTCTCTCCCTCTCTCTCCCTCTCTCTCTCTCTCTCTATATATATATATATCTTACTTTTCTATGACGAGATGGAGCGAAATTTTGAAAAATAGGAGTAAAAACAGCGCGGGGAGGAGGGAGAAGAAGAGGCAATAAAAACGAATGTGGAAAATTTCATCCACATCCTTGCAAATTACTTTATTTCTAAATACAATCCTATATTATCTTTAGTTCGTATAAATGTTTCATTCACACCCCAATTGAAAAGTTCAAAAAATAATGACGATATATAGATTTTTAAACGAAATACTTCTAAATATCCTTATCTTCTTTATTTTTTAAATTTTCCCGACTTTAATTACACCCACACAATACCTCCATAAACCGAAACAAATTCCAATCAATGAAGAAAACAAATTTTGTTTAAAATCAGAGCCCACGTCACAATTCAATTCAAATTTGAGTTAGATTCTCATAAATTGTACGCAAACTCTATATAACTCATAACTCTATGAGTTTGATAGGTGTATTCGACGGTTTCAAATAAATTTATCTAACAATCGTCAATATTACTTTCAAAATCATTCACATTGATCTACATTGTGCCGTCACTTCAGACACAGACTACCCATAATAAAATATAAACTGGGTAAATTTGTATAAGTTCATTCAATAGTTTTAAATAAACTCATTCAACAGTCACTAACATCCTTCTTAAAGTCATTTACATTAAATTTTACTTTCATCTTCTTACTTTTCATTGTCTCTTTCTTTGATCTTTACTCATCACTTTTCTAAATTAACCAATTAATTTACGTTACACTTCACAGAAATACTCCTAATTAAAAATATTTCACACCAAAATCAATTAACCCTTCGCCCATAGTTCTTCCCTTGCCTGACACATTGTTTGCATGCCAAACATAGATAAGTTTAAGGGAGATACTNCCCACGTCACAATTCAATTCAAATTTGAGTTAGATTCTCATAAATTGTACGCAAACCCTATATAAGTCATCATTTCCGCCACCTCTCACTGAAAATTATTACCACACAACCACCGTCACACGAATATTTATAACATAAAATAGGAAAGATTTTGATAAGTGTATTCGACGGTCTCAAATAAATTTACCTAACAATCGTCAATATTACTTTCAAAATCATTCACATTGATCTACATTGTGCCGTCACTTCAGACACAAACTACCTATAATAAAATATAAACTGGGTAAATTTGTATAAGTTCATTCAATAGTTTTAAATAAACTCATTAAACAGCCACTAACATCCTTCTTAAAATCATTTACATTAAATTTTATTTTCATCTTCTTACTTTTCATTGTCTCTTTCTTTGATCTTTACTCGTCACTTTTCTAAATTAACCAATTAATTTACGTTACACTTCACAGAAATACTCCTATTAAAAATGCTTCACACCAAAATCAATTAACCCTTCGCCCATAGTTCTTCCCTTGCCTGACACATTGTTTGCATGCCAAACATAGATGAGTTTAAGGGAGATATTGCCACCACAAAACAAATCAAACCCAATCATCAATATTGAAATGTCGAATCATAATTAACATAAAAAAACAAAAACACAAAGAAAAAGAAAAAGCACATCAACAAAGTCCTAGTTAAGGTGCCCCGAGATTGTTAGGCCTCCAATTGTTTTGAATTTGGGGCTAATTTTTAGATATGATAACGAATTAATTATGAGTACAATGAATCATTCGAGGATATTATGACAACTTAGATCTCTTGAATCTGTTTGTTGTTGTTTTGGTTGTTCATGCGGCAATGTGTATACGAGTTGGTATTAGTACAAGAGTGCGCGACAACTTGGGAGGGAGCAATGGAGGCAATAATTTTCGGTAATGTAATAATTTGGGGGTTAA